TATAGGGGAATCCTTGTTTACAATATTTGCCTCATTAGCATAAGCAATTCAGTTTCTGATGGAGCTAAAAATAAATCAGTTCTGAATATCGAAAGGTCAAAGTACGATTAACTCGGCCAATGAATACGAGCCTGATGCATTGAATACTTTTTGTGCAACACGGGTTTAAAAACTCAAAATTTTACATAGAATGTATGAGCTCATTAGCGCTTTTGCCACCCAGAAATTTTGCAGTTTTTGATGGACTATTTCTCCTTGAATATTACACCCAAAGAGCTAAAAATTTCACCATGTACTAAGGTTTTCTAGCTCTTTAGCTGCCTGAAGTCAATTTGTATCTAACATGCTTCCTTCTTTACGCAAAGCCGTATGCAAATGAGCAAAAATGTAAACAATGACGTCAGCATGAATCCGCCTATAAATGGACGTCGGGAGCTCATGTAAATTATACCTTTGAGTGTATTAATATCACTGACGAGATATTTGGCGTCCAACCATGGATTTGAAATTTGTTCTGTTAGTTTTACTGGATCTCGCTGCACTTTCCTTCAACTCGCAAATGCTGTGGCGTTGCTATCGAGACAAAATGATGTCCAAGTTTCTTGGAAAAAGCAGATCATTGTGTATCATTCAAAGCATATACCAGCGAACCATTCTTGCTACAACTTCAATTCAAGCTGCAATGCATTGCTATGCCTATTATCACTGTTCAAACTCGTGCCAGATCCTCAAGCTGGTTTCGCTCTCTACAATGTTCCTTTAAGTGTATAATTTAATGGTGATTTTGATAGTGTATTTTGGCCGAATTCTCCCGCGTGATACATACGAGCAAAATAAGACGTTCAAATTGTATGCCTTACTTTCATTGAGATTCATCCAATCACCTGTTCTGCTTTGGTTCAATATTTTTCCTCTACCGAGCTACTCCGAGGTGTTTTTCAAGGTCCTGTTTGTCACGAGTTTGTTGATGTTGTTTGTCACTGTTTCAAGAAATAATCCAGACCATGAAATACTTCAAGTAGAACCACTGATCACCGAAAAACGCGTTCCAATCGCCATCTGCTTGCTGCTGTGCTCATTTCTCGTTTACCGCGGCGCGCTATCAGTAAACTGGGATTTTGATGAACCCGAAGTTGCCAACAAAGCGCTTTTTGTCTTCACCCCGAAATTTATATTTGGGTTATTCTACACGTAACATTCTGCGATTTGATCGAATTTAGATCAAAAGGAGTTTGAGGTAAAAACTTTCATAATTTAGATGGAGTTTACTCCAAGGATAATCTCCAAGTTCCCCTCGCAATTTTTTGGATATTTTAATTATGAATAAACACGTATGATACTTTAAAAACACATTCACATGAAACCAGTCGCTGTGATGAAGACCGGCATTTCACAGATACTGGAAAAATTAGAATTAAACTAAAACGGAAGTTTTCAGAGTAAACAGCGTTTAAAGACTGTTAATTGTATGCAAGGGGATACCCAAGGTACTACAAAAAAGCAAAACAAAACAAAAACAAAACAAAAAAACAATAATTACTAAAATTGCTTTATGTTTGATGACCAGGACGGAATTTTGCCAAGGGCAGTCTGGTGATTAAAAAGCATAAACTGATTTAAATAGTTTTAATGTTCTCTCATGCAGGTTAGTCTAAATTCGGAACGTCATCAATCCACAGTCTGTCAACCTGTGAGAACCTTGTACATAACCTTTGATTGTACTAAGGTAACTGACGAGATATTTGATGTCCAATCATGGGTTTGAGATTTGTCAGTTCTTTTAGTTTTGGCGGATTTCATTGCACTCTATTGCGATTTGGAAAAGCTGTTGCGATGCTATCGTGACAAACTGATGTCCAGAGTTCTCAGAAAATGCAGGTCACGGTGCATCATCTAAGACGAAAACCAGCTTACCATTCTTGCTACAACTTCAGTTCAAGCTACAATGGATTGCAATGCCCGATAATTACCGCTCAAATCAAGTTCGTGCCAGATCCTCAAACTGGTTTTGTTGTGCCAATGATTACGGAGCTCATTACCGCTCAAATTCGTGCCAGACCCTCAACCTGGTTTTGCTTTCTGTATTGTTGCTAGAAGGGTTTAATTTAATGGCGAGTTTAATAATGTATTTTGGCCCAATTCTCCCGTGTGAAATTGATATTTGGACTCACTCAACCTCAAACATTCTGGTATTTGATCGAGTTTCGACCAAGAGACAAACGAAGATTTAAAGATGAAAACTTTTACTGATTCAGAAGGAGTTAACTCTAAGGAGAACCTATATGTTTTCTTGTATATTTTTACTATCTTAATTATGAATAAAAATTTTCACAGATGACCGAGCCATTTTAGTTCTCGAGCATCGGATAAAATTCTTCGTTTGTCTATTAAAAGCTCTATTTCTGCTATGTAAAAATTTAGTGAGAATTTCGCAGAGAAAACTACCTACAGAACACAACAGAACGCAAAAAATCGCCATCTTGGATAGTGTAGGTTCTGTTACAAAGTGCGGAGCCTGATGATTTTAGCTATTTGTTGTAAATATCTTACATAAAATGTCTGAAAGGTTTTCGAGATTAATGTTGTTAGTAAGTGTAGGGATATTTCTAAGTGATGAAATTAAAATCAGAATTGATGTGCTTCTGTGCGCACGCTCAACCGTGACCCTGTCCTTTTAAGGTTTTCGCTCGTTTTAAAGTGTCTATACGGCCAACAGGGTTTTTTATTGTTTTGGTACCTCTTTAACCTGTAAAAATGTATTCTCAGAAAAAAAAAGTTGATTCTGACGCCTCTTCACCCTAAAATCGAGCTTTAAAGTTCCCGTTTCGGCCACGCCCAATGAAGTTGACCGCGTAAGGGAAGATTGGTGATGAGTGACGTCACTCCAAGAGCGTCGTGTTGTTATTTTACTTGACAAACGTAATACTTTTCCAACACATCTATCGGGCATATTTATGTCGCCGAAAACTCTTTACCTTACTGAAAAAAAGCAGTGAAATGAACCACTGGCGGGATTTGGCGCGTTCCTGACTTGACGTCACGACCCATTCTGGAACCCATTCTCCTTCAATGGGCGTGGCCAAAGCGGGAAGTTTAAAGCTCGATTTTAGGGTGAAGACTCGTCAGAATCCAATTTTTAATTAAGAATACTTTTTTACATGTTAAATACATACCAAAACTATAAACACCTTGTTGGCCGTATAGACACTTTAAATCTCACGAATGAAGAATATGACGTAAATTATCCCTTATGCATACCATGCGTTTGTGATACTTGTTGAAATTTATAATTAATACATACACATACACAAGAAGGAAATTAGAATGTGTAACCTCCTTCCCTACGTGTTAAACCATTGTTTCTTTTGAAAGGCGTGAAATAGGCGTTCAAGCTTTAATCTGAAGATTAACCGGTATTTTTTAAAAAAATGTGTGAATTCTCCTTCTTGGACGCACGCCGACTGCTCATATTTCTTGAAAGAAATGAATAAATAAATAAGCACGCACACATTATATAAGAAGTAAATTAGAATTTGGATTGCCGTTACATTGCTGCTTAAACTCTATTTGTTCTGTTTAGAGATCCAACAAATAACAGCGAATAAAAATCAGAGTAAAACATAACCGATTTAAACTTTTATTAAAACAAGCTTGGAAGTGTCGAATCTTTTCTAAAGTTTTTACAGATCAAAGTTTCACACGACACCAGGGCTAATACAAAGTCCTCTCTGTCTTTCTTTGTGCAGTGAGAAGAGAACAGATGATCGTGAAATAATAAAGGCGATACGCAAATAATTCAGTTTAAAGCCTTAACCAATACATTGAGCCTCGAAGTCTGTTATATTCCTGAAGCTGCTCGATGGGACCTGAATTACAGAAAAAAAGAAACAATCAGAAAATAAAATTTAACAAATAGTATCAACAAGTCACTCACACAAACTGATGCATAAGCTGATTCTCGTGAATAAATTAACCAATCGTTAAACGAGGTAGAGTTAAGAGAAAGATGTTGTTCGTCTAGTCACGAGCTTGGAACAAAGAGAAAGAGACACTGTGGTGAGTAAGGCCCTTTACAAAATTCATACAAGGTAGAGTTTGTTGTGCAAATCGACCCAGGAATACATTAACTAATTGATAATCGAGGTAACTATGTCACGCAAATTGGCGGGTACCATGTTTCCTCGAATAAGCGCCTGGGCGCTTTTTTGAAATGTGGGCTCTAAGGAGGGGCGCTTATCTGAAGGAAGGTGCTGAATCGAGGGGGTGCTAAATTGATTATTTATCATCATTAAAGAATTGAGGAGAATACTGCTCGATACCACACCGAACGATAAGAATGCTTCAGCCTACAACAGGTCCAAGTGTCCGTTACCCAGTTTGAAATTATGGCTTTCATGACTAAACTAGACTAGCATAAGCTAAAGCATGCTAAACTAAACTAAACAAAACAAAACAAAACAAAACATAACAAAACTAAATTTTTCCAAAAAAAANAGAAAAAGTGTTTCATCCAGCTTTAATGCATAAATTAATGTCTAACAAAGTGAGTGAGGGATTATTTAGTGAATTTCGCCCCCAAACCCTAAACCCCCTAGCAAGACTTGCGTCATACCATCACGTAAAAACCGAAGTTGGATTACTTAGTTATCTTGGAGACTGGGTAAGAGAGGCCCCGAATGAGGCGTTTCTGTTATTAAAATTGACTTCGTACGTGACAGTTTCATGGCAATCTCTTACAGAGTTTGGCGTCAATTGTAAAATAGGACGAGAATTTTCTTACCGACACCAACGACAGCCGGGCAGCGATCGTAGATGTATTTAGTGGCAATATCCCTCACCATCTTGGCGTCAACCATCTACAGAAAGAAGTTAATGTAAACACAGATCAGAAACGGTAACAAGAAATCTGTAAATAATATCCTGACCATCATTTGATATACAAGTAAACAAACGATCCTTGCAGGTGAGCTAAAATTAATTGTGATCAGACTACCTCGCGAGAGTAATGACCCATTAAAAATTTCCTCCTAGTATCTGGCGGCCACAGGTTCGAAACACGTGGAAGCTTGATTTTTTCCCAGCTGCGAGGATCACTTTTTAACCAGTACTTAAAGATCGACAAAATCTCCAATTCCTATAGGACGTCGACGAGTTCCTCATGACAAACTTTTCGTGCGCCTTACTCCCAGAGTTCCGCGCGGCGCGCTAGCCTCAAAACTTCCCTTTGTTTTGGACTCACACGACGAACTCTGCCGAAAATGAGACTGATCATAGTCTAAGAACCAAATGATCAACTCACCTCAATTCGTTTGTCAAGCTCAGGGAGTGGAATGCGGCGGCCATACGTCAACATTTGTCTACAGAATTATCCACAAAAAAATATATTAACGACATCAACGTAAGCCCCACAGTACTCTGGCCACACCAGAAACACACAAAAAAAAAATCAAATAGAAATGACTCACCGTCCAATATCCTCGCAAATAGGAGTCGATCCTGAAGAAATAAGTACAATTTGTTAAAAAAANTATCCGAAAGCTGACGTTTCAAGCGTTAAAGCGCTCAGTTTGACGAAGGGCTAACGCTCGAAACGCTAGCTTTAGAAACTCTATAAGGTCGCCAATTCACATTATAAACTCAGTTAATAATAAAACCAACTTATCTTGTTTTACAACCCCCTTCCCTATTTACCCAGCACTACAGTTTCTTGAAAACTTCCCTCATTTACAAATTTCTAGTTTGACTGCGATCCACTAAAAAGCCACCAAGAACTTTACACGAGGGCGATACACGAGGGCGATACACGAGGCTAGTGCTGCTTGTGTGCGACGCACGAGAAAGCACGGGGGGGGGGGGGGGAGGTTGGTGATGAATGCGCTAATACTCAACCCACTACAAACGGCCAATTAAAGGCAACAAAACATACCATCCAGCTGCATGAGAATGTTGGTCTTGAGCAGATTTTTAGCACGAGCCACCTCATGATCTGTCACACTTGTACAGATACGCATCCTACACACAGCAGGAAACACCAAATTAAAACCAAATTTTAAATATACGAACGCAGAAGAACAAGACTTTTTTGTACTTCACGAGGACTAAAAACCCACATAGAATTCCAATTTTGCAGTTATAGAAGCAGATTTTCTACAGCATGGAAGACAGAAATACGATTCCTTCCAAAAGGCACAAGAATTTGAACCCCAGATCTTCAGATTCACAGTTATGATGGCTTACCAACTGGGACACAGAGAACTTGATAGTGAGCCAGGCTTACTATTGTGAAGATTGCATCAAAGGGACATGAACAGATGATGGTAAAAAATTAGCGGGTAAATTTATACCACTGCCATTGCCAAAAGGTTTGAATTTGCCTCAGTCAACAGTTGTCTCTTCATTAAAGAGTCAGTGTCACAGAGGTGATGGTAGCTGCTGTTGACCATAACCCCCATTCAACTCTTTAACTCCCAAGATCTAGTTGTTAAGTCTCCCCTTGAAAATCAGTTATGAGAATTGGGTGTTGGATCAAGAAAACACCTTCTACCTGATAAATTTGAGTATTCTCATTACCTGTTTACTAGGTAATGTATGGATATCATAGGGAGAAGTTACATGTTAATCACTTCTAGGAGTTAATGCATTGAGTGTTATTTTTGAGTGGGTAAGATTGCCTTGAGACTTTTTCTGCTGATTTTCCCTTTGTTTTCCAAGAGAAAAATGTAAAAGCTTACCATTCATTTTGGATGCAATATGCTGTATCGTCAATCTTCATTCTATCAGCTACAAAGTAAACACCCCTGGAAAGAGAACATAATGTATCAAAAGGACGTAAAGACTGCAGAGTGACAATAACTCTCAAAAAAGAAACAACAAKTTAGAGTTTAAATTTACAAGACATGTTTCGACATTCTCATGTCATCTTCAGTTGCAAATGAGCATTTAACTGTTGTACATTTGAATTTAAATTAGGGTACGTTACAAACTACGTGTCAGTGCTTACGTTACATTTGAATGTTAAAAACGCGAAAGATGTAAATAGCGCGCGCTTGACTAGATCAAAAAATAAATAGATAAATAAAAAATAAATAAATAAATGTAATAATAATAAAAATAAATTAAAAGACCAAGGAACAACATCATTAAAAGGAAAGAGACAATTCTAGATGTTTCAATTGCTGATTAAGGATAGGTTTTTCCCACTTAATATGCAATGCCTCTTTGATCTTAATTTGGTATTTTGAAGGGGCAGAATCTAAGATCGTGAAACATTCAGTATCACAAGAGTCAAGACAGGCCCTTGATGATTGCAGGTGCTTGTAAATATGCGAAGTTTTGTCCGACAAGAGGTGCTCACGAACTCGTGTACAAATGTGGCGAGTGGTCTCACCAATATAACTGACATTACAGCCAGCACATGAAAATTTATATATGACACGCGAACGTAGACCCAGCGGTACTGAATCTTTCACACTGAACATGTTTCTGAGTTTAAACGTACTGAAGACTAACTTAATATCTAAATCAGTTCTACAATAACGTTTGAGTAGTTGTCTTAACTTAGTCTGAGCGATGTTCGAAAACCGACCAACNCTAATTATTTCAGCTTCGCCCCTTTGATTTACAAATTAGGTTTAGTCAGAACGTTGATTGACAGAACATATAAGATCAATAATTCCTGGGTTGGTTTTCATCTAGATGTCAAGAAACTTATTTTCTTGCTACGGAAAAATTGTTTTCCATCTTGGGTCATAGACAAGATCATTTACAGGTATCTAGCGAAGAAAAAGAATCCTCCTACTGGGCAGAACGCCTCTTCTAACTCCGGTAAACCTTCTGCGCACTATTATAAACTTCCCTACGTTGGTCGGTTTTCGAACATCGCTCAGACTAAGTTAAGACAACTACTCAAACGTTATTGTAGAACTGATTTAGATATTAAGTTAGTCTTCAGTACGTTTAAACTCAGAAACATGTTCAGTGTGAAAGATTCAGTACCGCTGGGTCTACGTTCGCGTGTCATATATAAATTTTCATGTGCTGGCTGTAATGTCAGTTATATTGGTGAGACCACTCGCCACATTTGTACACGAGTTCGTGAGCACCTCTTGTCGGACAAAACTTCGCATATTTACAAGCACCTGCAATCATCAAGGGCCTGTCTTGACTCTTGTGATACTGAATGTTTCACGATCTTAGATTCTGCCCCTTCAAAATACCAAATTAAGATCAAAGAGGCATTGCATATTAAGTGGGAAAAACCTATCCTTAATCAGCAATTGAAACATCTAGAATTGTCTCTTTCCTTTTAATGATGTTGTTCCTTGGTCTTTTAATTTATTTTTATTATTATTACATTTATTTATTTATTTTTTATTTATCTATTTATTTTTTGATCTAGTCAAGCGCGCGCTATTTACATCTTTCGCGTTTTTAACATTCAAATGTAACGTAAGCACTGACACGTAGTTTGTAACGTACCCTAATTTAAATTCAAATGTACAACAGTTAAATGCTCATTTGCAACTGAAGATGACATGAGAATGTCGAAACATGTCTTGTAAATTTAAACTCAAAGTTGTTGTTTCTTTTTTGAGAACATAATGTATCTAATATTATAGACAGTTACTTGGATACTCCAATGTCAAAAGGGGTCGGGTTAGAGGACCTTGGCAGTACATCCTACTTTACTCAAATCCTTCCAATTGGGGTGGGGTGGGGTAGGGCGGGGGAGTTGCAGCACTTACCAGAGTCCAGTGTCAGTGTAACAAGTGTTAAATGACATGAAACTGTGAGCCAAGTTGTGCTCCACCATATCCTGAAAAAAAAAAAAAGCAAAACAAATAAGGTTTTGGACACTAATTGCTTTCAACCTCCGTTTTCAGTGGAATGCTCGTTGAGATAACAGAATTGTACAAAATGTACCATATCAATGCATTTTTATGCAGATATATAAGGGAAATTGTTTGATTTCACACAAAATTCTTGGTGGAATATAACAAGAAATGATACAATGAGATCATAGCAACAACCTCACCTGGGCAAGTTTACTGCTGATGTTTCTACCAGCACTAAATGATCTGTCCCAGCTACCAATCAACTACATGAAAAAAAGAACAGAGAAGACTTCATCAATGGGACAAACATTTATAAGAGAAATTGAGACAAGGACTTGCAAAAGATACATTTTTTAATATTGCTTTGTAAACTATTTTACTGATTGCTATTTCTTTGTCAGCGACTGTGGGCAATCACAAGAAATCATAATGTCATCACAAATCATTCAGATCTATGATTAGCACAGTAAAAAATTTGCAAGCACAACCTACCATATTGGCAACCATCAGGCCAAAGTAGTCTGGGTGAGTCCAGCCACATCCCTCAACAGCAAGAGCTACATGGGCCAATGGCATGTCATCATCACGGACACGAATCTGTCATTCAAAAACCTTCATTAATAGTATATCAACAACAATTTTTAACCTACTTGTGTTAAAAAAACAAAACAAAAAAACATCTGTTTCAATAACAAAATCTGGCTTGTCAGCATTGTTGTTGACAACCAGAATTTTAATGCTTGTCCCAAGAAGCGACGAATATAAAGCCATGTTGATACCATTTCCATGAACTAGCACTTGAGAAAAGAAACATGTCAATTGTTTTTGTGCTTCATACACTTATGATTGTTGATAAGTACAAAACTTAGCATTTATGTAATTAGTTCCATGACAAAAAAAATTACAAATCAGACTCTTTCATCAACTTATTCCATCTACAGTTAGTAACTGAAAGAAAACTGTTTAATGAGCACTTACCCCCTGTGTAAAAAAAAAAAAACAACTAATTTTGGACCATTTTTGGGGCCATGTGCAAGGGTCAGTGGTTTCAGCAGGAGGGTGACTGGTTTTCACAGGTGGGCAAAACGTTTTGAACTGAACTTCTTTCTAGGATAAACTATCCTCTAGATGGTCAACCCAGGTGGGCAAATCTGTCCTCACAGCTGGTAAATTTGCCCAGTGCCCAGCTCTTAGTGAAGCCCCTGCATGTGTATAATTATGCCCTATTTATATTCACCTACCTCACTGCCTGTGTATCTGCATGGATTGATGACATCTTGTGATTCATAGGTTGATCTTAAACCAACAAAATTTTGTTCTGCTAGTTTGACCAGAGCATCATGATCCACACCTAGGCCAAGATACATTCAAACTGAACACAAACAGCTCAGGCTTTTTTTTGTGAACTTACTTCTTCCAACTTAATTATTACAAAAAGTATGCTGAAAATAAATGAGAATTTACCTCCAGCTGCAGCAAGAACCATTCTTGGAGCACTGTAATGTTTGCTGATATATTCTACAAGATCATCACGCGTAATAGTCCTACAAAATAAGCAAACAAAGTCATGTCAACATAATTCTTTCAATTCCTTTATCAAAATGTACTCAAACAAACCTACATGTTAAAACTCTTTCAAATTTTAAGTCTCACATGCATATAAAATAGTATTACACTTTGAAAGCACTTAATGTCTTCTTTCATGTGTCAGGCAATCTGCTTGTTTTACTTTGAGTTTCCACTATTCCCTTAACTTAATGCTTTTCTTTCTTTTTTACACTTTTCAACTGTATTTCTGTACTACCCTGACATAATTTTTATAAAGCTTCACTCTACTTTACCTTGTAACAATTCACTTACATCAATCAACAGAGAAAGATGCTTTTATAATTGTAACGGTGGCCAATTTACCATTCAACTTTGCTGATATATTCACAATTATAAATAGACCTACAAGAATACCATGCTTTATTCCCAACACTTCTAAAGATAGCTAGAACATTAGAGGAGAGGAGGAGCAAATTTTCTCTACTGTTCACTACAAATTTCCTAAGGAGCTGAAAAGGAGAATTTGTTTAACAATCAAGAGCCTCTTTGTTCCCGATTGTTTCCATATTTCTCCTAACCTTGATGTGTGATTCAGGGGTGATATTGCAAGGAGAAATAAGATGCTGATCACTCTTAGCGGTTCACAGGCTTTAGAAACTCAATTGAATTTACTTACTTAACATTCTGAGTTGGCCCAAGAATTGTTCTCCCAAGTGGGGTACCCTGGTACGCTGTGGCATGGAGATGATCAAACACTACTTCTTCTAACTGCGTATCAACTTCCTGCATTTCCCGCAGGATCACGCCCCTTTCTCGTTCAATTTCAGCCTCGCCCAAAGTTGAATTCTGAATAATGTCTGCCAGAATGTCCACAGCTGTAAAATTTCAAACAACTTTGATTACATTAATTTTGCACATACAAGTTACACTTCAAAATAATTCAGATTAAATAATTTTGAAATTTTGTACTTTTGAGTCACTTAGACCATTTTACTCCTGAAATCTCATGTGTAACTCTCTTTACTGTCTGTCTGCCATACTCCTATGATGTTAGTTTAAAGAATTTGGTATTGGATCAACTAATAATCCCCTCATTGACATTTGCCTTTATTCTTCACTCTTATTTACTTGATAGTGGGGCTCCCACACGCGTGGGGCAGAGCCCCATACCCGTGGAATATGGTCAACCTCTTTTTGTTTGGTTGTCAAGTGACTGACCGAGCGTATGTACATACGTACGTGCCTTCAGATTGCATGGGTAGGGTAGGGGAGACTACCAAAATGAAGGGAGGGGTGTCTCAGGTGAGTTTTGGCAAAGGCACATCTTTTATGTTATAATTAATATTACAAACTTGGAAGCTCTGCTTTTAGGCTGGGCTAAATCTATATATTATTGTATTGCTATTGTAAGGAGAAATTCTGTCTACGTGACTCATGGGAGTTATAGGGCTGAACTGCAGACTTTGATTATATATGGATCAATAATAAGCCTAAGTAAATGTTTGTCATGGTAATTATCGAAAATCCTTATTCTTTTGGGTTGACAAAAAAGTAATAATTCCAGGTAGATGTTTGGTAGCACTGGCTAACACAACCAAACCAATCAGCAAGTACAGCTCTCATAGGTGTTGTAAAACATTTTACCTTTAGGGATGTCTTGGCTGAACACCTTGGCATAGTACACAGTCTGTTCCCTAGAGGTGTAAGCATTCAAATGAGCTCCCATATTCTCTACTTCCAGCTCTAGATCCATCTGTGAGCGATTCTTAGTACCCTGAGAGCAAAATGATAAAAAAGATATAACATATGGTGTAAGAAATCTTCCATATCCTGAGGGTCCCATCATTGTATGACATGTAACTATCTTTTCATATTAGGACTGACAAGACTGTGTTCAGCTTTTTGCTTAAATGTATAGGAAGTCACAAAATCATCATCACAATCATAGTTAAAACATCACTCTCCCAAATTGATATGGCATTTTTTTTCTTCCAGTGGTAGCATTAGAAAAAGGATAAAAATCTAACAAAAAAAAACCAAAAAATAAACCAAAGGACAGAGAAATGAAGCAGGAGCTGAAGTAAGAAAGGAAATACCTTAAATGCCATGTGTTCCAAAAAATGTGCAACTCCATTGTTCTTTTCTGTTTCAAATCTGCTACCTGCATCGATCCACAAACCCACCTGCCAAAATAACATCAATTTGTTTAGATTTCCTTTCATGATACAAATTAAATGATTACACCAAGTAAATAAACAACACATTGCAGCTTATCATCAATATATCAACAAAGGGAGGTGATTGTTGTTATGTTAATGTCCATTGTTAAGAAAATAGAACTCCAGAATCAGTTAGACAAGATAAAACGTAACTGATCTAAATGACAATACCACCACAGTAGATGTATATTCAGAGCCACATGTGGGAAAAGGAAATAATCTGTCAAGAGTAATACCCTTCACTTTAACCATGCATTGGAGAGTAAAACTTTTTTTTTTCAAATTCTCTCACAGTGGTTATCAAAAAAATTCTCCAGATCTCCATTCTTGAAACTTTCAAGAATTTTCCCCTTGGATAAACTCTAAAGTCATGCCTTTAACTTGAAGTGGACTGCATTGTACATCAGGAAGGAACAATTTCACTGTTATAGTTAGGTTGACAAATCAAGTGTTCTAGGACCAATTTTGAGTTCTACAAATAAAACTTGAGTCTCTGCAAGGTCACATGTATGATAACAAGTTATATATACAAAATATGATGCACATACTGTAGCTGTTGAAAGGCCCGAGTCTTCAGTTGCAACCCTTAAACCATTGGCAAGTGTGGTGACTTTGGTTTCAGGTACGTTGTACAAAGACTATTTGAGTAGAAAGAAAAAAGAGCATATGTTTCTTAGTATCTCCATAATGCTGAAAGAGAAAACTTTCCTGATGATCACATGGGCATAAAGTAACCTCTAAAAACACTTTATGAATACTCCCTAAAATTATAGAGTGCTTTTATAACATCTGGTTGAGGCCCAAAGGCAAGCAAGATGATCAATACAAGATGCAAATAAACCTACATCCATAATTCAGGTATGTGAAATGTGTTGATGAAGTATTATATTTCCTTAAAATGGGAGTCTTAGAAGACAAGAAGTCACCGACTTTATACATCTTACGAACCCTGCTTTTGATGAAATAATTACATCTTATTCATATAATTGTATCAATTAAGTCAAACCTATGTATGTATGTATTTAAGACACTTTTAAGAAACAACTGACTTCCTAAACCCCTTTGCTGTCATGACTGACCAATAAACAATTTCTAAGTGATATCAATTCTCTCATACAAAAAGATAGCGCAAAGTAAAAATATGAATAGCATTTGATTAAACACCAAATTCTTAGAAATAAAACTGTAAGAAATGAATGGAAAACAGTACGGAGAATTTACATTTAAATCTGGGGGGGGTGAAGGGGTCAGAGGTATCAATCAAATGCCACAGATGTAGTGAACAGAAAAACAGGGTAACACACTTAATGAGGGTTTTCAGTTCATAAAATGCTTCCTTAGAAGATTGCATCTAGTTTATCAAGATACTTTAAGAATTCTTCTCACGCTAAAATAGTTTTGGTTTAGTTTTGAAGATCAGTCAGATAGGCAGGATTGTACATTATGGATTTACTGTACCACAGGTGGCCCAAGCTCTCTTTGAGAACCACACAAGGAACACAATTTGCATATCAATTTATAAGGATTTGTATGGGATTTTCTACAAGATATCCATTGAGATAGTTAAAAGTGAAAATTTTAAATAAAAATGGCTTGCTTTATTCCATACGTGTGTTGTTTGCTCCTGGTGACGTTATTTTACTGATTTCACTTGATTTAAGTGGTTTCTTGAATCCTGGTTCTCTACCACATAAAGAGAAGACAAGGCTGAACACTTCTGTCCTGACAGTCTCCTGAACGAAGTAAAAAAATCCCAACTAAAATGTACCCACGGCCACAAATCCACCGCAAAATTCAAGGGCAAAGGTTGACCTTTCATTTCAATTCTCTAGTCACACAATCTCAGCCGAGCGATCTACGCCAGGTAGCTCTTCGTGTTGTCAGTGAAACGCTAAAACATGGTAGACATCCACGTAATTTTAAACACGACACAATGACTGTTGAAATCAGCTTGGTAACCTCGTCATGTTGGCAAACCAAGACTCACAGGGGTACTAGACCTGAGGGGACCCAGGGTTTTACGTGAAGTTTTGTTGACAAGTTGAGGTCTAGTACCCCCGCGAGTCTTGGTTTGCCAACATGACAAGGTTACCAAGCTGATTTCAACGGTCGTTGTGTCGTGTTTAAAATGATGCGGATGTCTACCATGTTTTAGCATTTCACTGACAACACGAAGAGCTGCCTGGCATCGATTGCAGGGCTGAGATTGTGTGGCTAGAGAATTGAAATGAAAGGTCAACCTTTGCCCTTGAATTCTGCAGTGGATTTGTGGCCGTGGGTACATTTTAGCTTGGGATTTTTTACTTCGTTCGGGAGGCTGTCCGGACAGAAGTGTTCGGCCTTGTCTTCTCTTTACGTGGTAGAGAACCAGCATTCGAAAAAACCGCTTAAATCAAGTGAATCGGTAAAATAACAACACCAGGAACAAACAACACACGTATGGAATAAGGAAAGTCATTTTTATTTCATATTTTCACTTTTAACTATCTTTAAGGATATCTTGTAGAAAATTCATACAAATCCTTATAAATCGATATGTAAATTGTGTTCCTTGTGTGGTTCTCAAAGAGAGCTTGGGCCACCTGTGGTACAATAAATCCATAATGTACAATCCTGCCCAAACTCTCAAAGAGAGTTTGAGCAGCCTGTGACTGTACACACTCAAACTTTGCTGAGTTTGTATTGCAATTTTGAGGAAATAAAACCTCCTTTCCTTGGAGAAAAACATATGAGTTGAGAAATGAATCCTAAAGAAATCTTTTTATCAAAGAAATGATCACTTACCTGTTCATATGATAGGGCTGTTGATCCGTATCTCTTACAGGCCAATATGCCGGTTTTACCCTGCAAAAGTACAATCAGATTTGAAACTTTTTCACGCAAAGAAGGAAGTCTTTATCTATTGAAACCCGGAAAAAATTCACAAGTATAATTATGTTAATACATAAATAATATACCTTTGGAGTTAATGAAAGAAAATTTGCTAGTCTACCGGCATTTTTCAACCCATGACGAAAGGCGATTGGAGACGCCATGTTGAATCGTAGCGATAAGTGCTGATTTGGCAGGGGGAGGTATGGGTATGAAATTATTCTGAGCAGAGCATATATTTTGTGGGCGAAACGCTGACAATTTTGGTGACCGGCTCTAGGAAACTTGCACACTCATAGTTATTAAGCTCCTTTGGACAAAAATTATCGCGAGAAATTTGTTATTTCTGCTACGATTTGCGCTGCTTTGTGTAAATTTTACCCTTTGAATACTGTAAGTACCTAAAATCATGAAAATACAAAAGTGGTATCGTTTCATTTTGTTCTTAAAAAAAGCTAACCTCGATTATGTTGTTTGACAGTTAAGAAGAGACCTCGTGGCCTTGTTACTTAAAATCAAGGATAATTTCAAGGAAATTTTGAAGTGTTGATAATGTTTCTCACAAGATCAGAGTACGACAGGTTAGTTTATATTCTAAAATATGTCTAAAATGATTTTTTGAGCGAAAATTAAACTTTATGTAGAGGTTTGTAGACAGAGGTGTCTGAGTTACATTGCTAGCTACGTGTACCCGAGTAAGTGGTTAGGATCTTTGAATTAAAAAGCTGGATCGTGCTGAGGTGCGATCGTTCGTGTGAAAGTAGTTCTGAAAAGGTGTATTCTTGATGCCAATGATTGGTGTTTCACCAAAGTGAGAAGAGGTCAGCATGTAAATCCTCCAGTGTGCTGGAAAAGTAAGTGTCGGTCACTCCACCAGCAAGAGTACTTTACATGACTAACGCTACACAGACAATATTACTCTTCACTGTTTCAGTATTACTCTACACTGTTTTGTATTCTTAAGCTACACCGGCAAGGTTTGGCGAATGGTATCAGGAAAATATAAAACTGTGGGTTTCACATATTTCTCATCTGATCACCTAAATCATCTCGTCAGCTGTTGCAATCCCTATGATATAGGTGTCGCATTTTTTTCAAAGTTCACAAGGTTTGGGAATTCCTTATATGTTGCTAAGGGTATAAAGCTAGAGTAGCTAAGAATTAAGCATTGTTAGTAACAAAAGTTTGAGCATGATAGTTGCTCTTTGAAGAGATGAGGACATAGAAGCCGATGTATTGCATAAGCAAAAGCAAAAGTCAGACTAAATAGTCCTTTTTACAGTTGTGGGCTTGGTGGCCAAGCCTTTGAACAGGAGTGAGGCTAAGGGTGACCTTGTTATGATAGAGATGTTGTTGCTTTTCAAATGCAAATTACTTTGTTATCATGCTAACTAGATACAGGTCTCTATCACAACAGGGTCACCCTTAGCCTC